GATGGCCCCGGTGCTGCCCGCATGGGTGACATGGCTAGACCTCCCGGCTCCTGGTCTGGACCTGGGCAAGTGCTGTGGTCATGAGCCTCGGGGGATGCTGAGCCAGAAGATGGAAGAACTGTTTCTCTCTCTCTGTAACTCTGAGCTTCAAACAAAGGAATCTTTCAAAAATAAGGAACAAAGTCTGTGGGCTTAGGTGTGTGGGAACACATGCAGAAATTTTTAAAGACCACATTTTAAATGTTATGAAACATGTTTTAGCTGTGGAAGGCAAACTTAGGAAAATACTCCAGTTCTGACAGTCTTAAATAGATTTCTGTAATTCTTCCTGGGGAAAAAAAAATTAAATGGTTGTTCTGAAATTGGAAATTTTGTCCCTTCTCCCATTTCGTCATTCTTAAGGATATGAGATTCTAGACCGCTGTCATTTGGAATGTATATTAATAACAGATGTCCCAGGCGCTACATGTTGGCTATGCTTCTCTTTAAATCGGATGTCCAAGTCTGTATGTATAAAGCAGACAGTTTAAGGGCCTTTGTAGTTTCTGTGAATAACACATTTGTTTTCTTTTTTTTAAATGGGGGCTGGAGAGGCATGCTAATGGGATCTCAAATTGTGACAATTCTGATGTGTATGAATACTTTGGGAATATTTAAAGTTTTTACGCTTAGGATCACTTGTACTTCCATTCAGATCTCAAGCTCAGCTACGTTTTCAGGATCTACACACTCCTTCAGTGTGTTGTTAGCAAACAGTGTAACTTTTGCCACACAGTCTAGTGAGGTAGATGGCTGTTCGCCTTGCTTCACAAATAAGGTCCCGGTAACGCTGCCTGGGTCACAGCTGGGAAGAAGGGGTCAGGGGGTGGATCCTGTGCTCTGTGGCTCTGGAGATTTTCCCCAGGATTGATTTATTTCTCTCTGAAAGGCAGGTGTACGGAGAGGAGGGTCCAACACAAAGAGCTTGCATCTGCTGGTTCACTCACCAAATGGGTGGACACGTGGAGCTGAGTCAACCCGAAGCCAGGAGCTTCTTCGGGTCTCCCATGTGGGTGCAGGGTCCCAAGGACTTGGATCATTCTGTTTTCTCAGGCTGCAAGCAGGGAGCTGGATGGGAAGTGAAGCAGCCAGGAGATGTACCGGCATCCACGTGGGATGCTTGCATTTTCAGGTGGAGAAGTACCCTGTTGCACCCGTGTGCCAGCCCATGGCCCTAGCCCGTGTTCTTTCCATTGTATCCCCTGGCTTTCTGAGGGAACTCCTTCAAATGTTTCCATGTAGCAAGGCCTCTGCCTTGCCCTCTGCCGCCTCCTGTTGAACACACTCGGACCATCCAGCCCAGCAGTGCCGCTGTGGCTCACGTGGGTGCAGCCTCAACTTTCTTGATGACTGGACCTTGTAGAGCAGTCGGCCTGTGTCTGCGTGCAGTGTGAACACGTAGCTTCAGATATCCCACCAAGTCTGTTTCACAGTGTTGAACCAAGCCCTTCCCCCAGTATTTTTTTGTTCCACACAAGCCCAGAGGAGCCAGCAGAGCACAGGAGTGGGTGCACAGCATATGGAGTGGGGACCCCAGAGGAGGCCGAGTTCTCCAAAATCCACACTGCAGCATGCTCTACACGGCGAGCGAACTTCTGATGCTGGCAAGGCCACAGGAGGAAAAGCCAGCGCTAAGTGGTCGGTATGTTTGAGTCTGCCTAAGCCTTGCGAGAAGCTGGAGAAATAGCCCAGGAGGCGGCCTCCACTCCCTCCGCTGCCTTTGCTGTGAGGGGGCGCCTCATGTCGCTGAGCCTGAGAGCCTGTGGCACCCACTCCCCTGCATGTCCTCAGGTGTGGCCTGTGGATTTGGAACTCGGCTTACCTTGGCATGGGGGACTGGGGACGAGGCGGGGAAAGCAATCTGTTTTTCCTTTGGCGTCACTTTCCACTTCATTCCAAATGGCCCGTCTGACTCCTTTGTCTTCTAGAAGTAAGAAATTTCTGCTTTCAAATGGCTTCTATTTTTGAGAAACGGATGTCCTTCCTGGGGCTGTAGGAAAGGCATATTGTTCTAAAACATGCCGCTTCCTGGTCAGAGCAAGCTATTCCTGTTTGTGCTCCCAGGCTGGAGAGAGTTGGTGGGGACGCGCTGGCCTTGGAAGGGTCTTGGACAGCAGTGCGGCCATGCGAGCCGGCCTTGTCCAGAGGTGCGGTTGGGCAGGTCTGCACGCCATGGTTTCCACACGGAAGTTGAATCACTTTAGATAGATTGCACTGCCCGGCACTTCTGCAGTCAAGTTTGTTGAGACACAGCCTCATTGTGTTTCATCTCTTCTCGCGTGTGTGCAGACAAAAGGAGAGGGGGGACCCAAGACTCTGAAGGCCACCTGTTGAAAATTATCTTGCATGTCTAAACAAGAAATCTCCCTTCTCGCTCAGATGACTTACCTATTTGCGCTGTCTGTGCCAATCTCGGCTTGCTCTGAGGATCGGGACTTCCTTAGCATCCTACTTTTACTCACCTTTTTTGTTTCGGCTTGGTTTTTGGCTTCTTCGCAAAGTGGGTGCGGTTCCGTGCCAAGTACAAATATTGCAAGAAGAGGATGTGTAAAGGTTGGGAGTTTTGCGTGATTCCAGAAGTGAAACTGTTGGAAGGAGGATGATGGAGTGGGCGTGCTGTGCAGTGCCCTCTCCTGCCGCGGGAGCTCGTCCTTTCCTCGGCTTTTTCTTGTGCCACTTGGCATCTCATCAGACTTAGGGCTTGGTGTGGGATGTGGGGATGTGGCAGCTGGCACGCAGTCCCTGCCCCTCCCCAGAGTTCAGTCATGCATGTGTTGATGTGAAATAGCCTGACTCTAAGTTTTAGACCTGAGCATGGCGCTTCCAATGATTTGGGTTTGGAAAATGTGGGCTCACTGGACACTGGGGAAGATCCTAAAACCACTTCAAAAAAATCACTCGTTCTCCCTTGCTCCTAGGAAGCCAGAGGAGAGGTGCTCTTGGGCTTGGAGTGTGGTGTGCCTTGCCTGCACGCCCTCTGGGTAAACCGGACAGTCATGTTGGGCTGCTGGACTGTATTGAAGCAAAGCTCACAGATCCCACCTTCCTGGTTCGTCAGCTCTAGAAATGAACTCTTAGCTTAACGGTCTGTTAATGATTTGTAGTACTTTCACAGTGCAGTTCAGTGAGGGGGAAGAATAATTTTCACAAAATTCTTGAAGAACCTATAGTATCACCTCTTTCTGATCTTGAATTAGTAATGGTTTCTTAGAAACAACTCTAAAATGAGCTTAAATTCAGAATATAATAAATTCACCTTTTAATGATAAAAAGACAAATAACCATATTAAAACTTAAAGCCTTTGAATATTCACTGTAGCTACATAAGTGGCCAAAAGGCATGACAAGATGTGCATTATTGTTGGTCAATATGGAAATGCAAATGGAAACTACAGTAAGATGTAACTTCACACCCAGTGGAATGGCTAAAATAAAAAACAATGTGGGCAGTAGTAGATGTTGGCAAGTATGCAGACTGAAATCCTCTTACAGTGTTAATGGCATTATGAAATCCTCTTGTCACTTAGGAAAGCAGTTTGGCAGGACCCTTATAAGTTAGTGGTTCAGGTCCTGGCTGCTCCATTTCCCATCCAGCTCCCAGCATGTCCACAGCCTTGGGATCCTGCACCTGCATGGGAGACCTGGAGGAAGCTCCTGGCTCCTGGTTCCTGGCTTCCGATGGACTCCGATCTGGTCATTGCAGCCATCTGGGGGATGAGCTAGCAGATGGCTGATTGTTGTCTCTTCTGTCAGTCTACCTTCCCAGGGAAAGTGAACACATCTTAAAAGTTAGTGAGTTAGTGTGACCTGGCAGTTCCCTTCCTTACGAATATATCCATGCAAATTGACAATGGCATTCAAACAAAAACTTGCACAAGTTCATGCTAGTCTACTAGTGATAGCCAAGATGGAGAACGCCAAATGCCCATCGGCTGACGAGTGGCTAAGCTTCCCGGTGGAGTAGGTGTGGCATTAAAGAGGTGGGATGTGCTGTAAGATGAGCGACCCCCCCAGAAACCTAACACTGAGTGACAGAGGCCTGTCCCCCCGGCCCTGCAGTGCCCTACATGGCCAAGGAGGTTGTGCTCCCCAGGAGTTTATGGAAAGGGGGAGTGAAGAAGGATTCTTAGTGAGTTCCAGGATTTTTTTCCCGGGGAGATGGTGAACATGTTCTGAAATTAGTGCTGGTGATTATATAAACAAAGTAGCGGACACCTCACTTCAAAAAAGTGTTAATGCTATGTGAATTACCACTTAAGTCGCTACGAAAAATTATTTGACAGATTTCTTAAAGTGGCCTTGTTCTGCATTTTGATTAAGACTTCGGAGGAGTAAATATTCATATTGACATGTCAAACAAAATTCTCGATTTCCCGAAATCCTGATTCCTTGCTGGCTTATCATGAATGTAGGTAGAGCTTTGACTTGTTACCTTTTCTGAACTTTCATTTGTAACTTTGAATTCTCTTTTGTACCTACTACAGAGCATGATACATTTTAATCTGAATTTTTTTTTAAGGAAATGTATCTTCATATATATAACATTCATATAAAATATATCGAAGTATTTTGGTAGAACTGAAAAGAATTAAATGCTTATTTTTCAGTATAGTTTTGGAATAATAGGAAGTGGTTTTCATATTGGAATGAATAGGTTTACTGTGCTAGTCTTCATCTATACTGGGAAATTGAAACTTTGTTTTGAAATAAAAGGCAGGCGGTAGATATGTGATAAAGAACAACTTATATTTTCAGTTTTGTTAATTTACATCTAAGTAGATTTTGTGCTTATTCCACAGGCAGTTGTAATAGGTGGCATTTGTACATGCTTAACTCTAAAGTCTAAGAAAACATGCTTCTTAAACGGACACCTGTAGCTTATTTTTGCTTGTAGCTAGACTGCCTGCTTTGGGTAACTTCTGTCCCAGGAGTCTAACAGTTTGTGTCTTTGCCTTTCCTAGGATCTGGAGATCGTGTATTCATACCTGCACGGGATGGAAGCCTTATCCAACCTGAGGGAGCACCAGCTTAGGTATGCCGCTTGAACCTTTCCACCACGAGTCAGTGTTAGAGCTGTGTGTTACCATTTCCCAGGGTTAAGAAGGGTTACAGAAACTCTCCTTCATCTCCTGTAACTCTTCCAAAGTCAAATTGATTTTTTAAAACAAAATTTATTAAAAAGTCAGATATACAGAGAGGTGGAGAGACAAAGAACTTCCGTTTGCTGATTCACTCCCCAAATGGCTGCAGTGGCTGGAGCTGCACCCTTCAAAAGCCAGGAGCCTCTGTGGGTCTCTCATGCGTGTGCCGCATCCCAAGACTTTGGGCCGTCCTCTACTGCTTTCCCAGGCCACAAACAAGACTGGATGGGAAGTGGAGCAGCCAGGACTAGAACCGGCTCCCATATGGGATCCTGGCGTGTGCAAGACGAGGACTTTAAGCTCTAGGCTACTGCACTGGTCCCAGTTGAATTTAATTTTAGTCAGATAATGGTTTGCTGACATGCCACCCGTACCGTGGTTTGTACCCTCCTGCCCAGTTAGAAGGGGCATTGCTTGCTCCTCCGGTGAATCAAAGTCTTCCAGATTGTTCTAATTATTGAAAGAACGGTTTGGGTTCATTGTTTAGTATGTCATAGGTCATTGTTTTGATTACGTTTGTTGGATTAAATAAACTGTCTTTCTTGGGAAGCAGTGTTTATACCAAATGTGTTTTTTAAGTCATTTTTGCTGTTTAGTATTGTAGTAATTTTGCTTAAGGTTACTTGAGCTACATGTGTAGGATCAGGAGTGAAAGAGGGCATTGTGGTGTAGCAGGTTAAGCTACCAGTTGGGGCTCCCGTATTCCACGCTGGAGCGCTAGTTCTCCTATTGGCAGTTCCGCTCCTGACCCAGCTCGTCCTCGCGTGTCTTTGTGCCTGAGGCTCTGTTAGTATCTGGGAGCCCCACTTGGAGTACCTGGTCCCTAGCTTTTAACCCGATTCAGCCCCAGCTCTTGTGGCCATCTGGGGAGTGAGCCAGTGGATGGAAGATCCCCCTGCCTTTGTTCTTTGTGTTCCAAATTAGAAATCAGTACAAGCTTACGGTAAAGCAGCAATGGAGTGGTGGGCACCTTGACTGCAGTTGCTGGATTGGAACCTCTCCAGAGTCGGGGAGGCCGGCTCGCCCAGGCCTGGCCTGTTTCGATGCCAGCGGTTCTTAATTATGAAAGGAATGCTTGTCCTATATATTTCTTCTTTACTCTTTAAACACTAATTAATTTGTGAGCTTAATTTGTGAACATGTCAGTTTTATCTTGTTAATTGAAAAAAATATCAAGAGGATTGAATACTTCTAAAATTAAATTTTTAATGAAAATCATTTAAATTTAAGTAGATTGATGATTAAGTGTTTAAAAATTCAGTCAAGTGTTTTTTCTTCTTATTTTTTTTTAAAAAAGGGCAAAACCACGGGGGTTTTGGAAGACAGCTCAAATTACGGCAAGAATAGTTTTTAAGTGTGTAACTTCCGCTTTGTCTTGTCATGACAACTTGTTAAAGAAAAAGCTGTGATACCAATTTGAATGCAGTTAAATCTGCAAATTCAGATAACATGCAAACACTAAAAGTGATTTTCCTATTGTGCACATAAAATCACAAATATGAATATTCATATATTTATATATACTTAGAGTGGGTGTGGTTTTAAAATTATTTACATTATAGTAATTTTATGCGGTAGAAATAGAATGCTTAAGACTGGTGGAAATCTTGAATTGGAAAAGTAGAAATACTACAGCACCACTCCATAATTCCTATTGACTAGCACGAGAACTGCCAGCTTTCTTTATAAAAGTTACTTTGGTCAGCAGTAGCCACCGACCTCAGGGGTATGGGAAGTTGAGCTTGGAGCCTGTTCATGTCCTTGGATGGCTGGACCTTGCAGGGAGGGTCCTTTAAGATCTTATTCTCATATTTAGAGAAGGCATCTTCTTAGACGAAGGTGAGTTCTTCCCGAGGGCGGGATCAGGATGCCCGATTAGAAACAGCACTACTAGATGATGACCGTGCCCTTTCAGGGGAGAACGCGTCTTCAGGTGAATGGCTTTCTTGGAATTTTACGAAGAGTTTTTTCTCCAGGATTATTAGAAAATGGGCAGTTCAAACTTGCAGAGAGCACATGAACCCACTTGTGAGTGGGGAGTGGTTTTTACCAGGATCCCTGCTTTGCCCGTGTGGTGGAGGGCACTGGAGCGGGCAGGGCAGGTTTTCCTGTGCGGGAGGCCTGAGCTCCTGGCACTTCCAGCCACTGCGGTGTGCAAGCCATCAGCTGCTGCTTAACGGTCAGGGTGGGCGGCTCGGTGTTGTAAAAACTGTGATCTTAGCACAAACTTATTTTAAAAAATGAATATAATTCAAAGTCGAAGCTGCCCACAACGGCTGGTGTGTGTGCATATAAACGAAGAGTGGCATGTTTGCCAGAGAGGAGCATGCTGTGGTTTAAAGCAACGACTAAAAATCCGTGAAAAGCAGACCCATTTTTTGGGAATGATTGGAGTTGGAAACAAGTCGATGTCAGCATTATAGTGAGTATAATTGCCGTCACCTGGGAACCTTGAGCCTGTTAAATAGCGGCTAACCTGGTTGTTCAGACGTTCGCGAATTCAGGGACGGTCGGAGTGTTTTTGCTCCAATGTTTCCTACCAGTGTTTGAAGTCAAGCGGTCTAGGCACCCATTTCATTTATACAGTCTCATGCTCCAGTGTTATTTTTTTAAATTGTGTTATGTTTTTTCTTGACTTTCTGATGGCACTAGATACGCTGTTTCTTTAGACGGTTACTAAGTGACACGCCCACCGTGTGGTGGACGTTGATGTGGTTTGGAGAGAAACAGCCTTCACCTCACTCAGACCGTCGCCACCCCAGGACTTGCGTTTTCCCAGTGGCGCAGACATCACGAGGTCCACAGATGTACTCAGTGCACTAACAGGTGCCGGGCTGTTCACAAAGATGCTGAGTTAATAAACATCTGGTTTTGTCTGAAATTTCACACACTTGAATGATACTGATGTTGAGCTACGAATTGCATTGTCACTGATGGTGAAATTGATAGGTTTTCTTTGCTAATTTTTGTGAGCTCCTTCCCGTTCTTGGTGTACCACGGGGAGCAGTAACTTATTCAAGTGCTGGGATGTGTGAGGCGCGTGCAGCCTTCCCCCATTCAGCAGCTCTGGGCAAGGTGACAGCGTATCAAGTGTGTTCTAATGTCTTTAGCACGATTTGTTCTGATTTGTTAATTCAGATACCAGAACTCACCTTGAGGCTAGCAGATGACTGCGAGGAACCATATACAATTGTCTTAAATGGGTTCAGCTTGGATTTTAAACCATTAGTGTTTCAGTGGCAGCCCTTGAACTCATGCCTTTCTCTCTTCCACAGGTTGATGTGTGAAACCGTGAGATACGAAAGACACGAAGCAAACGAGGTCTTGTACTAGTAAGTGCCTGCTTTTTGTTCACACGATGTGTCACATGCAGTGATGAGATGCCCAAGCTTCACCCACATGGCAGCGACAGCGGCCTTGCCCTTAGCCTGTTGCTCAGTGCGTTAGCCACGTGAAAACTTCCCGCACGTTAACCGCTTCCAGTCCTTTCCTGATGAGTCTGTCGTGATCTCTGCCAAGTGGGAGGTGGTGTGTCACATTTTAGAGCATTTTGACATCTATTGTTACAAAATAAGAATGCAGTGTCCTTTCAGCAGAACAAAACCTATATTCCCTCAGCGCAACTGATGAGGTACCAAGATCGCAGAAGCATCTTTTTAGCTTCTACTTCCTTCAGAAACGGGGATGCAAGTTAGCCACAGCTCTTCGGGAAGGCTTGCTTCTTTCACTAGTACTGCTCCTCCTTTAGAGGGCTTAGCTGTTCCTAAGAGAGCAGACGTACTCTTCTTGGGGAGGTGATTGCCGCGATGGACTGCTGCTCCATTGGGTCTTCCTTCCCACTAAGGAATTGCCACCTTGCAGGCGTAGCATAGACACCGTGTGGTGGAACAAGCGAACCACGGCTTCTGGTCCTCGGGAGCCCATAGCCTCGAGAAGCAGATCTACTGCAAAAGGAAGCAACAGCAAAAACGATTAAGCCAAAATAATGTGTGTTCCCAGAATGAGTGGAAGAAACCCACAAGAGCACGGGGTCCCTGGCGCGGAGGCCTGGTGTTCAGGGGCTCAGTGCAGGGAAGGGGCCCTGCTTCGCCCCCTGAGCCTTGGGGCGGGTTCCATGCCCCGGCCTGTGGCGAGGCTCAGCGGGCCAGGGCAGCAGAAGGGTGCGGTCATGCATGCGATTCTGCAGGCAGCTGAGTCGCTGTACACCTGGCAGGTTACGTTCCATCTCTTGTCCTTCGTCTCCCAATTCCAGGCTGTGATGTCTTGAAATGAATTCCAGTTGTCGGGGTAATTGATCCATAATGACTTTGATATGCTGCTTTACTTCACACACACACACACACACACACACACACACACACACACACACACACACACACACACACCCCACTTCCATCTGCCAGCTCCCGAAATAACTGCCTGTGCCAGCCACCTTTTGGAGCCGAGAGCTGGAGGCTCTGTCCAGGCCTCCCCCGTGGAAAAGGAAATCGGTAGCTTTGGCCATCGCTGCTGCCGTCAGAGTCTGCTTTAGCAGGAAGCGGTAGCTGGAGAAGGACTTGCCCCCAGGGACTCTGGTGTGCGGCGAGGGTGTCTAACTCCTGGGCCGGAATCCCTGCCCTCCAGGCTCTGAGTCCTTAGCTGGGTGGTCAGTTTTGAAGCAGCAGAGGATATGCCAACGCACTGGCAGCTTAGATGGTGGAGTGACAGCAGGTGTTTCGTAGGTACTTCCTGTGTGCTGTGTGTGCCTTCAGCTGCTTCCTCCTCAGAGGTCACTGTTAGCTTCCCCAGTGTAGACCCGGGATGATGCTGAGGCCGGGAAAACATGAGGATATACCCCGGGAGGTCCCATTGCTCGATCTGGGACCAGGATTTGAACTCAGAAGTGCAACTCGGCAGCCTTGGCTCTTAGCCCGGTCACGTGCATCTTCCTGGGAGCGTAACACATGGAAGTGGGGTGTGTGTGTGTGTGTGTGGGCGGCCCCGACTCCTGCCTGCCCACCTGAGGCTCTGCCTGCAGAGTGGTGATCCATGACAGCCATAATGTATGGCTCATGTAGAGTGAAGGTGGATGACATTGTCTTTAGGCTTCCTAGAGTTTTTTTAAGTCTGTTTCCGTGGTGCCTGTGTGCTGTGCCTAAACACGGGGGCTTCAAGGGGCTTGTGGGAATGGAACAGGTGACGGCCGGGAAGAGGCTGGTGGGTTAGCTCAGATGCCCGTGTTCTGCACTGGTGTGGGGTGCAGTGGGGTCAGCTGCTTGCAGCACATATGGTCAGTGAGGATTTCCAAATGATGTGCCCTGTTTCTGATTCAACTTCTTCCTATCCTGGGGAAGCGGTGGAAGCTGGCCCCAGTGCCAGGGTCTCTCCCCTACCCAGAGACACCTGGGTGACGCTTCTGCTTCTCACTGCAGCCTGGTCCATCCCTCCTCTTTCTTCTTTTCCAATTAACAAATTATTTTTTTAATGGAAATGATGCTCAGATTCCCCTTCAGAAAACACGAGTTAATACCTGGCTCCAGGTCCTTGCTCCAGCTTCCGGCTGATGAATATCCTTGGAAGCAGTTGATGGCTTAAGCGGTGGCGTCCCTGCCACGGCGTGGGCTCTTGAGGTGTGCCCAGCCATCCCGGGGCATTTGGGCAGCGGCCAGGCACGTAGGTCTCTGACTCCCAGCCTCTTGTTCTAAGCGAAATATAAAGCGAGAATGCTTATTGCGGCACAGAAAGATCCATGCATATAAGGGGGTTTGAAAATGTTCGTGAAATATACCTTGAAAAAGCCTTGCAGGGATTTTCGTTAGTTTTAATCAAACTGGGCTTCTGTTTTTCCCACAAGCCTGATATGCCTTCCAGAGCTTTCTGAAGTAGCGAGGCACAGATGACTGCTTCCGAAATTCACAACCAGATGCATTTTGTAGCCACAGCTACGGTTACTTGTGTTTGATTACAGTTCACTAAGCGTTGGTAAGCAGTGAAAAAGTCTGGAGATCTGATAAATCATCATTTCCTAAGACCAGAAATTCAGAGGCTAATTCACGTAATCAGATTCCTTTGTATCGGGCCAGTCTTTTGATGAGGCCCTAATGAGATGATTTTCTCGCTCTGCCCTTGGCCTGGCCTGGCCTGCTTCTACCCTGAGCAGCCGTGTGGTGTTGAGAATGGAAGCGCACCTACTGGTAACCTGTGAGATTTCCTGGTGATTGAGTGGCAGTGTCACCTGTCTGAGAATGTTCTTGTGGGAAGACGGCTTGTTTGCTCGTGTTCACCCCGGAGTCGTTTCCTTCGTGAGAACCTGACCCCCGGGTGAGCGGTCGTCTTCCTGATCGGGTGCTGGCCACCTCTAAGTCTCTGGTTTTAATACTTTCACCGGGCAGTTATAATCTTCTTTTGATCTGTCCCTGGCCTCAGTTTCCTCATCTGTAAAATGGAGACAGCAAGGAGAGTTGTTAAGCCGAGGGCTGGCATGAGGGTAAGATGCAGTCGGGTGTACTCTGTGCTGAGAGCTGTGCCCCCCAGGACAGGTGCTCAGACCCCTTAACCGCTGACATCGGTGGTGGTCCCAGCTTTGGTTTAAAGCCTTTGCGGAGGGGGCTGGCACTGTGGCTCAGCTGGTGCCTTCCATGCCCACCTCTCCTAAAGGTACTGTTTTGAGTCCTGGCAGTCCATTTCCGATCCAGCTGCCAGTTCATGTACGTGGCAAAGCTTGGTGGAAGGTGGCCTGAATGCTCGGGCCCCGCCGTCCATGTGCGAGACCCAGACGGAGTTCTAGGGTCCTGGCTTTGGCCTGGCCCAACCTTGGCCATCAGAGGAGTGAACCAGCACACAGAAAAGCAGTCTGCTTTTCAAATAACTAAGACTTTTTTTTTTAAGAAAGGAATTGGGACTGTGTCTTCCAGTTAAGAAAAAGAAGTATTTATTAGGAATGAATTATACTAGTTCTGGTGTTACTGTGTTAACAAATCAAAACAAAAACGCCGTTCTAAATAGTATTGTGCTTAGGGGAGACTTGCAGTTCTGATAAAATATGAAGACAGGCATATTCCATCTCCCTTTCACTTGCCAGTCTTGGACATGCTGAGTGGACAATGGCAGTTCCTAAGGGAGGGAGCCTGACGCATGGTTATCCTTAAGAACCCGGTCTGAAATGAGACTCCCATGGGTGCCCAGACCCCCGCCGAGTACCAGCAAGACCCGCCAGACGCGAAGGAATCATGAGCTGGAAATGCTTTTAGCTCTTGGTGTCCGGAGTTGTCCTCACACCGTGAGCGTCAGGCATCGATGGGCAGCTTGCACTGACCTTGTCCCTTGCAGAAGTTTGTGGAATAATGCCCTGGCTTCCAAGGCCCTGCCCCTTCACTGTTATTAAAACTGCACCCTGAAGAATGACTTGTGAAGGGGCCTGCAGGGTTGATGGCTTTATTACTTTGTGCTGTCCGCTCTGTTGGCTAAGTGAATTGATGATGATAAACAATCCAGACGCCCAGCGTGTCGCTTGTGGCTGTAAGTCCTTCGCAGTCCGTGGGTCTCCGGAGGCCGCCCGTGGACCGCCCTTGTGTGTGCCGGGAGCTCACGCTCGGGACTCTGAGAAGCCATGGGTTCCAGTGCTGACTTCTTTCTCTTTGGAGTTTTAAATTTTAAATGTGAAGTAACTGACGTATAATTGTTACAACCACAAGCTTTTGAAAATAATTGCTAACTATTTAAAAATATTAAGATTTATTTTTACTGGAAAGGGCAGATTTTTTGGAGAAAACAGGAAAGAAAAATATACATATATATTTAACCCTCTAATTCTTTTTCAAGATCTGTTTTATTGGAAAGGCAGATTTATAGAGAGAAGGAGAGACAGAAAGATCTTCACTGGTTTTCTCCCCAAATGGCTGTATACGCTGGAGCTGAGCCGATGTGGAGCCAGGAGCCAGGAGCCAGGAGCCTGACCTGGGTCTCCCAGGCAGTCTCAGGTTCTCCAAGGCTTTGGGCTAATCTGCACTGCTTTCCTAGGCCAAAGCAGAGAGCTGGATTGGGAATGGAGCAGCTGGGACACAGATAAGCACCCCCGTGGAATGCTAGCACTTACAGGTAGAAGACCAGCCAACTGAGCCATCACTCCAATCCCCCTGCCCCGTACTTTTTAAATGGTATTTGTGGGAATTTATAATTCGGAGTAATTTTTGTGAGAAAACGTTGCTGTTCTGATGGTGGAGGTTGTGAATGCCAGACCTGTCGGACTTGGTAGACAGGCACCTGTGCCTTGGTGAAGGTCGTGTGTGCCCTTGGCATGACTCCGCCTGGCATCAGCAACAGAACCCCTTACCATGCCACCTTCTGTTGGCCTATCCTGTGTGCTTGCTGCTTCGTAACACTGGCTGTGCCCAAAGCAGCCCACGGTGTGTGTGTGTGTGTGTGTGTGTGTGTGTGTGTGTGTGTGCGCGCGCGCGCGCGCGCGCCTTGCAGCCTCCGAGCTGCAGATCGGCCCTCCACTCTGGCCCAGCACTAGAAGTGACGTCATGTGTTTGGGAACAAGATGGAAATGGCTGTGCATCTGAAAAGCCATCTGTGTGTTGGAAGGTGGCCCCTGCCGGAGTTTGTTCTTGTGAATCTCGGAACACTTTGTGCAGAGGGAGTCCTCCTTGCCCCCACAGTAGGAGCTGGTAGGCTTGAAAGAGGGAGGGGGAGTGGCGTGCAGTGCAGGCCAGGCCGGGTGGCGGCTGGGCATCTTGGAAAGCTGCCTTCGTAGTGAGCCCCTGCTGCTGTGAGAGCCTCAAGGGTGGCTTGGCTAAGGGGTCATCTGTGTCATGGCCCCGCTGGCAGCATCACCCAGACACCTGGAACTACATGTCCAGCCGGGCAGGGAGCTGCAGTGACAGCGTCGGCCAGCAGAAGCCAGGTCCTGCAGCTGGGCCAGGGCCCCCAGAGCCAGGAAGTGGGTGAATGTGGGACGTGTGGGCAGACAGCTGTGCGTGGACGTGTGCGGTCGGGAAAGGAAGCAGGTGGTGGTATCTTCCTCAGTCCTGACTGACGGGCCCTGCGGGGCTGCTTGCTCCTGCTGGCTCTTGCAGCCTCTGTGGTCTTCATTTCCTCTTATGTTCTGGCATTTAGTAGCCCACGAGATGGGCCAGTGCCACAGCTGGTGGCAGTCCTGTCCCCCGTTCCTGGAGCAGGTGAACTTTTGTGCCTGATTTGGTGTTCTCTTTTCACGCCCTCCCGGGAGCTGAGGCCACCTGCTCCTCCTGGGACCCCTGCGGTCAGCAGCTGCTTCGCCAGCTCTCCTGGCCACTCGGCTGGGCATCCCTCCACGGCTCGTCCGCCGTTGTTCCCCACAAGGCTGGCCCTCCTGTCTCTTCTCTCTTTGCCTGGTTTGCTCCCCAGAGGCTCCAAGGGCCGGGGCTGGCTTGGCACTTCCTCTGGATCTCCCCTGTGGGTGCAAGGCCCACGGGTTTGGGCCGTTCTCTGCTGCTGTCCCACGCACATTAGCACGGTATTGGATCAGAGATGGAGCAGCCAGAGCTAGAACCGGCAGCCCCGTTGGATGCTGACATTGGAGGCAGGGGCTTAAAGTATTGAACCACAACGCCAGCCGGCTCTTCTCTGTGCTTAAAGCCCTTGTTAAGGTTGTACATGTGGGGCAGTGAGATGTGCTGGCACCCCTCAGGGCTCCTCGGGCTCAAGCCAGTGCCAGATTGGAGCTGCTGAGCCAGCGTGTAGCCTCTGGTCCCTGCTTGGTCCACGTTTCATCAGGATCATTGTGGAAAGCACCGACTTGGGGGTGACTGCAAGCTGATGGTGCCCGGGTAGCTTTCAGTTCTTCCTGCCCCCTGGGATGGAGTCCTGTTGGCTGGCCCTCGCTGCCTGTCGGCTCTGCTGGGACTCCTGTCCCTCCTTGTTGGCTTTCCTGATTCCTTCATGCACACACCTCTTCCCACATGAGTTATCTGTGTTGTTGTTGCGTATTTGAGAGTCAGACAAAGGCAGGCAGACGGGAGTCCCTGCTGATTCACTTCCCAACGCCCACAGCGGCTAGGAGACGGAATGCAGTCCAGCTAGGTTCCTGGGTGGGCGATGGGCAGTCGGAACCTAGTTAATGAGCTGCAGGGCCTGTCAGGACACGGAGCTGAGAATCGAACCCAGGCACTTAAGCAGTGTCTTAAATACTAGGTTAGGGTTAGGGCTCCCGTATTAATTTATGTATTCTATTTATTTTAGTGTTGTAGTAACTTGAGTAAAGTAGCCTTTTCATAGTTGTGCAGATGTAATCATTTTGTTGATTCATTAGCTTTCTAATCCTTCAGTCCTCTTTGTCAGTTTCAACTTGATTACTATGTTAGGTTCCTACTTTGAGTAGACAGACAGCGATTTGAAAAGCTTTTTTTTTTCCATATGGAGACAGTGCCACCTTGTGGAAGCCTCAGGTATTGCTAAATTCTTTTCCGCCTGCCTTCATTTGCCATTGTTGGTAAATTGGAACTTAACACCTTTGTGGCGTTCACAAATGTTTGAATTGATGTTTATTCATTAAGAATATCTGAGTGCCAATCCAGCATTAGATGGTATGTTTGAGTGCTCATGGTTTAGAGGAGTGTAAAAGCGTACAGGGAGTAACTCCTAAAATAATTCTGACAGTCCATCAGCTGCTTCCTGTACCCAGGAAGCTAGGAGGATCAGCTTGATTTACCTGGAACATTCTTAGCTGCTCAGAGGTGGAAGTTAACCCAAAACTCAACAGATGAGCCGTAACTTCACCAGATAAAAGGAACCCCGCATGAACTGGAATAGCAAGTTTGTTCAAGGGCCCGAGGCCCCAGCAGGTAGACGGATGGTATAGCCGAGCAGAGCTGGCGAGAGGGAGTGCCTCAGGGTTAGGAGCAAAAAGCAAAGTGTTGTCTGTCCCAGGGGAATGGAAGGAGGAGACAGGTGATGGGTGATCTCATTTTTTTAAGGCTCAACCTGGGCTGTGGCGGGCACTTGGGGAGTGAACCAGCAGCTTGGGGAAGGGAGGCCTGCCCTCTGCTGCCTTGTCCCTTGTCACTTCTCAAAGGGGAAGGGGCAAAGAGGCACGGATACATTCCTTAAAGACACAACAGAGGGAGGAGGAGAGCAGCAGACGCCACAGGGCCGGGCACAGGGGTCAGGCCGAGGAGCAGGACACGAGGGCCAGGAGTGGGGTGCGAGGCGTCCAGGAGCTGCTGGTGTGCACGCTTCAGGAAGGGCAGGGATCTTCTCATTGTTCAAGCATCCTGATCACCTCAGCTGGTTGGCAGGAAACCTTCCAACATTTATGAGTGTGACAAACTGCTGGCCAGACTGAGCGACCTGGGGAGGCATAAACATTGCTAATCACCGAGAGTGCAGTTGGATAGTATCTACCCAAAATACCGTGTGTGCGTCTTTTTTATTTTAAAAATTTGTGTCCACTTGAATGTCTGAGCCCTCTTCTTCCTTCTGCTGGTTTACTCCCTAAATGGCCACGGAACCAGAGCTGGGTCAGCCAGAAGCCAGGAACTTAGATCTCCATCTGGTTCTCCCACGTAGGTGATGGAGACCCAAGCAGTTAAGCCGTGACCTGCTGTGTCGCAGGGTACCCATCAGTGAGAGTCCAGAATCGCAAGCAGAGCTGAGTGCTCTGGTGTCCCGAGAACTGTCTTAATCTCTGTCCCAAACACCTGCCGCCTGTCGCTGTGCGCTTCGGGCCTGGTGTAATCAACAGTCATTAATTAAGCTCACGCACTACAGTTTTTGTCTCTATGCAGTTGCATGTGATCGAAACATCTAAAGTGTGGGGTTGCCTAAGTCAGAGACTGTCCGTGCGTTCTGTGGGATGGAACAAGTCACAGATCTAAGACTGCACGAGAAGGCGTCTTGTTATCACAGCATGGCACCGTGTGTGAGCGTGCTGTGCGTTTCCTGGGCGTTGTAGAAGGAAGATGATGGAGGAGTAAGAATCTGTATCCGTTGTGTGTGCAAATGCATAAAGAAGTTGAGCCAATACAAAGGAAGCGTGGTGGAGCAATGCGGCCCAGTGAGTGTTCTGGGAGATGGAGTTTCAGTGTATTCTTCGTTTTATGAAGCCAGTGAAAATGTTTGAGGTTCATCGAAGGAAACTTGAAAAAGTAGGTGCCGTGCGCATTTAGGGAACATTTAAAACACTTGTCTATATTGATTCATGTCTTCGTTGACTCCAGAGATCAAGATTCCACACGACTGCAGTAGTTGAGTGGCGATATTTTTGAGTCTGTGGTTTATGCCACTAGTCGTTACAGTTGTAAAGGTGCAGTGGGTGTAAGATTTGTGCTGTTCTCTATTTTGATGTTGTTGTTGTTGGTACAGATCGTTGTCTGATTCTGTTCCCTTTGCTTTTCAGCCCTGATGACATCGGGACCTGCTGGTATATCCTGCTTTCCGGCTCCGTGTTCATTAAGGAATCCATGTTTCTGCCCAGGAGCAGGTATCGTATAGAACATTTCTTAAAGCTTGGAGATTTTTTTTTTCTGTAAATTTTTTTTTCTATTTTCTCTCCAGTACACTGGAGATCTTTCAGAAACGATCGTCCTGCGTCTTAACCGCTGCTGTAGCCCCTTTAACAGCGGCAAGAACGGAAATGCGTGTGTGACAAGATCGTGTCACTGTGTTCTGGGCACAGTCTCCCATGGGGCATAAGACGGGTCTCAGGTTGGGGTATGTAAAGATGTGAGCTCGGCGGTCGGTCTGCGACATCTCAAGAGAAGCAGACAAGTTCACGAGCAGCGTGTGGGACTAGCCGTGGGAAGCCTGGACCTGTGCTGCCCCTTGCTGCCTCGCAGGGCCATCTGGTCTCCCCCCGTGCACCTGTCGGTGGGTTGATCTGCGTCCCGCTCTTTGAGGCTGTCAGGTGACAGGCTTGTCAGTGCTGACGGTTGATTTATGACCTCAGCTCCCCACTGGTCACAACATTGAATGTGCTGCCTGGGTATCTTCTATTTTTTTGTTCTTCGGTGTGAAATCTGATTGGCTTGACTTGGGGCAGGTGAGCGTCTCTGGTCCAATCCACCACAGCCAGAAAAGCTTGGACTTGGTAATTATTAACACGATCTGCTACTTTCACGTTCCCCAGAATGTCAGCTACACAGATTCTGTTTTTCCCTCTTAATTGCATTTTTTTTTTTTTTGTTTGAAACAAGTGTTTCTAGTTTGGCTGAAGATGAAATATTTTTATCTTGTATTGCTAAACATTTGAACAAGGTTAAATTTTTAAGAAGTGTAATAATCCTCCTTGTTTTCACCTAACTCCTTTATTAAAAAAACTATTCAGATATTTTCTTAAGTGATTGTGAGTTAGGAATCTATTTTAAAGATGTGAACATTTTTCGGAAAGGGCCAGTAAGATGGGAAGAGGTAACTTGATACGGCAGAGATGTGGGCGTTCCAGCACAGGGGAGCAGTGAGGGCCCTTGGTGGCCAGGGTGAAGGGGAGGGTGTGCCCGCAGCACACTGCATGTGATTAAAAATAGCCTCTGGTACAACCCTGGTGTTTCTTGTGCCTGTGCTCTCCCGAAGCCAGTTTGGCAGGCATTATTCCCTCTGGGAAATGATCCCATGAGTGAGGGCAGAGGCCTGTTTGTTTCTGTTCTTGTAGTAATGTTAGTTGTGGTCCTGATAACAGCCCCAGGTGGTGGGGATGCTGGGAACAGTGTGACAGCATCTGTTGAGCACGCATTGCTCACAACGCGTTCTACATTCAATCAGCGAACTTTGTGAGTCACCTTGGGGGTTGGTTCGCTTCTGACCTGGATTTTATGGCTTTGGAAACTCTTGGTGCACCAGGATGGTGGTGGCTGTGTCTCTTGGAGGTCTTCCTAGAAAGCCAAGAGTGACCCTGTGGATCAAAACCTGTAATCCCAGGAATTGTGTTTCCCAGAGGCCCGGAGGACTGAACGGCAGGATCCTGCCTGTCTGCACGCAGGAGCCCACCGCCTCCGTGGGCCTCCGTGGGCCTCCGTGGGCCTCCGTGGGCCTCCGTGGGCCTCCGTGGGCCTCCCGGGCCTCCGTGGGCCTCCGTGGGCCTCCGTGGGCCTCCCGGGCCTCCGTGGGCCTCCGTGGGCCTCCCGGGGCTCTGGGGCACTTGCTTTCTGGACTTGGAAACAGAGGCTGACATTGCTTAGGCATTGGCAAGTTTTCAAAATTGTGTATAGACTTAATACAAGAAAACACAACTATCATGTAAATTTTTAAAGATCAAATTCTCTCATCCAAGGTAATCATTCTTAGTGTTTTCCCTCGAGGCATTTTAAATGTGATTGTTGCATATTTAAGATCCTATTCTGTATATTATTTTATAAATTGCCTGTTTCAGTTCAAGACTGTATGTGACTGTCGCACATTCGTGCAGTCATGCACACGTGTTCACATTGCCTATTATGAAGAACTATAAGCTGTGTAACTTTGTAAAAGATTAATTTATTTCACTTGGGAAGTCAGAGTTAGAAAAGGAGGGACAGAGAGAGATGTTCTGTCTACTGGCTCATTCTCCAGATGCGTACCATGGCCAGAACTGCGCTGATCTGAAGCCAGGAGCCAGGCGCGTCTTCAGCTCTCCCCCGTGGGTGCAGGGTCCTAAGGGCTTGGGCCATCCTGTTGCTTTCCCAGGCCATAAGGGAAGAGCTGGATGGGAAGTGAAGTAGCCAAGACATGAGCCGGTGCCCATATGGAATGCTGGCCCCATAAATTAATGGGTTTAGCCCGTTACACCCACTGGCCCCCAGATTTATAACTTCTAATAATCCATTTCATGTTCAGGTTTTTAGTTTCCACAATTTAGTTCATCATTATAGAGGGTAAATTTTGGCTAGCTTTTGTTGTAAAGAATGTGGTTTGAAATGTTTGTTCGGTTCCGGGGAGGACGGTTAGGGACTCTGGGTGCCTCACAGCCGTGGCGGAGTGGAGGAGCCTGGGCTGGGCTTCCAGACCCGCCCCGCAGCCTCCGCCTGTCCCCTGACAGCTTGTCCTGACTCCTGGAAAGGGCACTGCTGTGCTAGAAGGAGGAGGACTTGGAGTTCAGTCCTCTTTGAGCACATGGGATTCTGTGCCTCATTATTTTAAAAGATGACATAAGTCATTCTTTCTCTGGCTGGGCGTCAGATGCTTGTAGGTCACGACTTTGCAGGGATAAAGGCAGAAATGGCGTTTCGGACCGAATGACAAGCTGGGACTATATAAGGCGTTTCTTCATGCTGCACCTGGTGGCATTTGCTCTGTCCAAATTGTCTGTTTCCTCTAGGGACGTTGCCTTAGGAATAGTTCTGAGGATTGTTTTAATTAAAAATCCTGGTACGACACCAAAAACTGACAGTAGTGATTCAAATATATTTCACCGTCCTGAAAATAATAAGCCGATCATTCTTGCCTAGCTGCCAGCTCCTTCCGATAGGTAATTCACCTCCTGAGTTTTGTACTGAAGTATTTAGAACAACATTTCCGCATTTTAAACTGAATTTCGTGTGTTGTCTTGAAACCTGATTTCAACGGTAAGACAGGGCATCTATTTTGTAGAATTAGTCCCTTGGCTTCCAGATTTTTGTTAGCTTGATTGAAATACTCAGTGTGTGTTTATTTGTTAGCATCTTGTGTTGTATCTTTTCGTTTCTGTTATCTTTCCATATGAGAATTGTCCTGTGCAGAAATGAGTAGTATTCTTTGACAATTTTTGTAGCGCTTCTAGAACTGAATTCCTCTGTGACTCCAAGTGACTCTTACCTTACCGGAAAGCAATTAGTGATGTCAGTCCCGTTTATGAGTTTTATTGTTAGTCCATTAGGAAGCTGTGAAGTTTGAAAACATCGATCTTTCTTCAAGTGGCTGTATTGTTGTCTGTCTTATGTTAGATATTACATGGCCCTAAGACAGAGCTGAATTCTCACTTGGAGTGCAGTTTGTATTTTATATTTTTCTCAAAGTGTTATTTAAGTGAATTCTGTTTCTTCATAGCAGCAGAAAGGTTGTGAGCAAAGATAAAGGAAGAATATAGTTTTGAATATTTATATTTTTCTAAAGGAAGGAATATACTTAAGATTTGTTACTCAGGCTTAATTTACCCAGGTTTTAAAGGAATTTACTCAGATTTTATGTTAGCTTACAGAATTTGAGTTTGTTTCTAATATTTTGCAGTCATTGAAGATTTTGTCAGAAAAAGCAATAGTAAGCTGGATTTTTAGGATAAGAACCATTATTGATACACAAGCTCTTCTTTGATTTATAATGATCATGGTCCTGGAAAAAAATAACATTAAAAATACTGAAGTTGATCTTGGTAGAATCTATTTTTATTATAGTAGTTTCCAGAAAAGAGCCTTTTAATGGCCACAGTCATGCATACTGTATATAATTATAAATAATAATTTTGCCGCTTTGATGCTGCAGTACTGTGTTGTCTTGGACGCAGAGCAATTGATAAATTGTCTGTTCACTTCCTAGTGATGCAGTGGGGCAGTGCGGGGATCCTGCAAGGATGCAGGAAAGGGTAAATCAAGGCGAGGTTTAAGCCAACTTGGGAAGTGCCAAGAGAAGGATGGGGTTGTGGTGGGGTGGCTTTCAGGGTGGGCATCAGGAATACTAGGACAGAGGATGTGGGCTTCTGATGCGTGCACCTGAGGGGTCTTTTACCATGGTGTGTGAGGCAGCTGAGCCAGTGCCCAAACTGCCATTGCACTGTAGGTGGCAACTGCTGACCAACAATGTGCCATTAAAATGGAAAGGTAGTTCGTGGACTTGTCTCATGTTTGTGAGTTATTCCGTTACTGCAGCACAGGTTTGCAGATTTGAAAGGTGGAGTCATATTTTTGTTTTAGAGCCAAATTGAACCCTTCCCTGAGTCCTACCGTAAAGGGCTGTGTGCCTCATCAGTTTGGAGTATACAGAGGCAGTGGGGGGATCCTGTGCTGGCATGTGATTGGGAAGAGGAGGCAGGTGGTATGTAAAGCATAAATGTTTCATTCAATAGTGTACTATAAATCAGTTTAGCAAAGAACATAGAGCGTGCATGTAAGTCTTTCCTTGGAACATAGGAGGTAGTGTCTGTGACTTTAATTCAAGGGCGGCTTTTAAAGAAGGTCAGTTTGGAATTGTAGTTTGAGTTGGTCGATGAAAGGAAAATCCAGATAATACAAAAGGGCAGTTTGAACATGCCCAGTAGCTTGAATACGCAGAAGCTCAGGGAGTCACATAGTTGTAAAAGCATCAGCAATGGTGGAATGAGAGTTGTGGTTTACAAAGCTATGTAACGGAGTGGGAAGTCGGGGTGCTTGGTGACCCCAGTCTCCAGTCTTCCGGGAGGTTGAAAGAAATGTGAACACCTTTCGCTTTATCCCACCATGGCTCTGTCCGTTTGCAGTCGGTACTTTTCCTTGGTACCAAATATATCGACAGTTTAACAGGTAAAATTGTGCTATAGTCCTGTTAATAGTCATGTTTTAA